AAAACATGTGCGAATTGTTTGGAAATACGCCTCAGTTTGAATACACAGATTTTTCACTCAATCATCCAATCTTTTGTTTCGATCTGTCAGCTCATCAAGAAGATCTTTTCAAAACAGGGGTAAACATAAATATTCACATCGATAAAACACCGGCTACTGTGACCGGCTACTGTTTATTGCTGGAAGAAGCAAAACATTTGATTAAAATATCAGATAGAAGAATGATAAGAATTGAATAAAAAAAAACACCCTTTAAAAATGAAACCAGAAACTTTAGTTATGAAAATAATAGAAGCTATGGAAACGAATTCGCCGACTCTAATAACTTACAACGGTAAAAAAGTGCATATAACCCAAAAGATTATCGATAAATACAAACATTGCAAAGTCAGAGACGATATAGACTTGGAAAGAATTGATGAGAATTTAACTCAAAAAGGTGGATTTTTACCTTTCTTACCTTTAATCTTTGCTGGTTTAGCTGCAGCCGGTGCAACTGCTGGTGGAGCTGCTGGGATAGCCAAAGCTGTCAACGATAAGAAAGCTGAAGCCGCTGCAAACGCCGAAGCACGTAGACACAATTTGTCAATGGAAAGAGAAGCACGAGGAGGTTTGGGAGTAGGAGATATATATGGGACGGTTAAAGAATTCGGACAAAGATTTGGCGAAGAAACCAAGAAAACCGTTAAAGAGGGATTAAGCAAATTAATAGATAAAATCGACACCGGAGAAATGAAGGTCAAACACAAGGGCGACGCCATATTTTTTAAAAACATACGTTCGGGCGAGGGAATCTTCCTTTCAAAGTATAAAAGCAACGGAGTGATTTTTAGTACGAAAATGTAATAAATAAAAATGGGCAAGAAATTCAAACATTCGGTCATATTTCCTAGTAACCCAATGCTCATGTGCATTTGCGGTAGTTCAGGTTCTGGGAAAACTCATCTCACTTTTAACATGTTGACAACACCAAACCTTTTAGATTTCGATTCTCTGTATATCTACACAACAACACCAAAGCAATCGTATTATCAATTCCTCAAAGCTTTGGAATATTTACCAAAGAAAGATGTTCAAGACATATTTCAATATTACGAAGAAAACGAAGAAGAAGTGGAAATAAAAGATATCATAGAAAACTTCATTAAATCAAAGAATCCATCTTTCAATCCAACGGTTATAAAAGTTTTTCTTACGGAAAGTGTTAATGATCTAGACTTGTCTAATATTGATAGCAATCGAAAGAACTTAATATTGTTTGACGACTGCGTAGCGCAAAGAAATCAAACTGTTCAACAATAATTCTTCACCAAAGGAAGACATCACAACTGTCACTGCATATACCAATCCCAATCTTTTTACGGGATGGATTCTATGTTCATTAGAAAAAATGCAAATTGTTTTTTATTATTTGAATTAAACGATAAAGATTTATCTCAAATCATTCAGTCTATAAATCATAATGGATAGAGATACATTTAAAAAGGTTTGTGAAGCTCAATGGAGAAACCCAGATGATCATGGATATGTATTTGTAAATACTAGAAAACCTGCAGGAGAAAGAGTTATGATCGATATATGTTAATTTTTATTTTTTTAAAAATGACGGATTGGAATAATTTTTTAAAAAGAAATAGAGAATATATCAAAGCTAAGAATAAAATAAAGACCCAAGTTGAAAATAACAGATTACAACAACTCGGATTAACGGAAAATCTACAAACTCTATTTCAACCCATATTAAAAAGTTAAGAAGATATTAAAAAGAGACTCGCTATAGAACCCACGCCTCCTATAGAACCCACACCTCATCACCCCAAAGCGATTGAATATAGTGGTGTTATAATTAGGACAGTAGATGATGTAAAACGTCTTTTTTCAAACCCTAGGCCAGAATTACCAAAAAGCATTTCACCAATCATTGATGAAGCGGGTTTGTTGTCCAATGGTTTTAGAATAAGATTTAGGCAAATACCCCCGAATTTATAATCGATACAAAAGATTACGTATACACATTAACGAGAGGGTTAATAGATTTAATGAATGGTGAGGATGTTGAAATTGCCGATTACAAGGATTTAGTTGCATACTCAAAATTTCTGCATGCGATCAGAAAGTCAGGACCTGAAACAAGAAGATTGAAAGAAGTTGATTTATATATAACAAAAGTTATTGAGCAAGAGGAGGCAGATGATTATCCAGCAATCATACAAGAAATAGACGAATTTGATGATATGGTGGCATCTGGACAAGGTATAACGTTTTTATCCGACGACAATAAAGAATTGCTTAATAGATTAGAAATAATATTAGCGGCCATGAAGGAAGGTCATCGATCGGACAGACAATACAACGAAGTCAATGGCATATTAAAACGGCTTTTGGAGAAAAAAATCATCACTAAAAAAGACTATATAAACGTTATTAAAAATGTCCAATAAAGAGCAATTGTTCGTTATCACCTCGAATAAACCAGACATCAAATTGTCTCTAGACTACGAGTATGAACTCGATCGCAATAAACAGTACGAACTGGGATTAAAGTATTTCTCCGTTTACAATTCCATTAGAAACATCAACGAAAAAAACAATCAACTAAAAATATCGACGGATAACGGAGTTACGTTCAAAACCATAAGCTTACTAACGGGGAGCTACGAATACGTAGCCATCAACGAATACCTATCCGAATACGCAGGAAGGTAAAAACAATATCGAATTCGAAATTAATTTGAATCTGAACAAAATAAAACTGATCTTGAGAAATAACAGTCAAGTCGATTTCAACGTAGAAAATTCGTTGAATGCGTTACTAGGGTTCGATAAATGAATATACGCGCAATCGACATTGGCGCCGCACAAGGCCAACATCGAGAACGATATCGACGTGATCAACATTCACTGTAATTTGATCAACGGTGGATTTTTCAACAAGCACAAACGTCAAATCATATACAGCATACCGACTTTTACGGTGCCGATCGGATACAGAATTATAGAGAAACCGTTTCAAACGACCTATTTACCAGTCAATTCTTTCATGATCAAAGATATAAATCTGGAAATCAAAGACGGTAAAAAGAGGTTCATAGACTTTGGCAACGAAGAAATTGCCATTCAACTTCATTTAAAACAATCTTCATTCTCTTCTTGATTAGAAAGATAATCGAAATCATCAAATCCATAGTTTTCGTCAAAACTATAGTCATCTTTGTCGTTGTAAGGATACATAATTCCTTCACTGTTTGGTGGTTTTCTTTTAACATTATTCAAATAACTTCTAAAAACTTTAGTTTGTTTATCATTTGGAATAACTACTCCATTGGTGAAAATTTTTTCCCATGGTTTATTAAATTCGTTCGACACGTCATGTCCGCTTGCTAACTGAACGTAATCTTCTACACTTATCCTATCATTAGAATAACCTTTAAACGTTTTCTTTTAAGACACCATCAGAAGTCAAAACGATGTTGTATTTGACTTTTGGTGCTAAATATAAACCAAATATAATTCCACCGTCACCGTAATCGTTTTTACCTTTGCAATAGTCTTTTTCGGAGACCAAACCAGCTCTGTTTAGTTTTTTCCAATTTTTGGATGAAATGTACAAACTATCGGTATCGGTATAGTATATTTCGGGTTTATAAAATCCATTTATGACGTGAATGAAATTGTTCATTATTTTTTTACTGTGAGATAAAACGAATGATCCCAAATGACTAGGTGTTAGTCGTGTAGATTTACTATCTTCGGTAGTAATCTCTTTTTCTTCAATTTCTGTTTCAACAATATATTGAGTATCATTAATTTTCTCATAGGTTTTAATACGTGAATCAAAGTTGGCCTGTAAAGTTGCTTCATTCCATAAATGTCTAGTTGTGAATATATCTTTCTGAATTGATTTACCATACAAGGAATTACCTAATAATTTCATGCAATTACTACCCACGATATTACCTTCTCGTTTATATTTATTTCTTAAATCTCTCAAAATTAAAATATATCTCTATAGGGTGGAGTTTTAAATTTTCTTCGTAAACTATACCATCTAATATTCTAATAATTCGTCCACCAGCTTTCACTATTTCTTGAATATCGACCGATGTTAAAACGTCGTGACAGAAACCATTTCTGAACCTGATTTTGTTACCAGTTTCCTTTTTACCTTCTTTATTCGTGAAAGTGATTTTATCTTTAGCTGGTATCGGTTGGAAGAACATGTTTTTGGGATAGTCAAACCACACTGTTAAAATAGCTGTTCTAGGTCTGAATTTTTGTTTATTGAAGAGTTTTACAAATTCTTTTTCTTCTTCTGGTAGAAACGGTCTTCCACTTTCGGCTCTCGGATATTCACTGTCTAAATCCGACATGGCGGAAGCGTATAAACCGTTAGCATCAAATGCCATTAGTTTAGTACATTCTATTTTTTTAAGTCTCGAATGAACTTCCGTTTTGTCTTTTGTGCTTGCGCTGTATTCTTTGACTAAATCAATTATGTTATTACTTTCTGTTTGTGAAATATATTCCTTTAATACGTTGCAAATTTCATCCATTTTGTTCGTTTCAAATGATTTTCTATTTGCCAAAACTCTTCCTCCTTTAATAGATCGTCTGATAAAATTTCATATAAAAGGATTAGTATGCGAATAAACTTTTTCTATATTTTCTTTTTCGGTATGTTTTGCAACCATTCTAGTAGTTTTATACCATTCTTCTTCCACCATTTCTTTATCGTAATGATATAAATAATACCAACCCTTTAAAGATAAAGATGGAGCCGTTAGATTATTGGACATATTCTGGTTTACAACTTCTTTCGTGACTTGGTTGTATTTTATCAAACAAGCTCCTAAACAGAGAGTGTCTCTCTTGGCGTAAGGTTCCCATTCGTGTCTCAATTCCTCCCAGTTGTCTCGCGTGTATTTAGCGATATCTACGTCGGCAATCTTTCTCAAATTCGCGGGAAGATTGGAAGAATTTCCCCATGCAGCCAAACTAGAGGATTCGTGTTGATAGGAACACGTGAAATTAATATGTTGTAAATAATTACCCTTTATTTCTTTCTGTCTTTTCCATTTTTTCTGTAAATCTTCATCCGTGTATGAATTAGAAAAAGGAAAAGATAGAATTCCTCTGGGTGTTTTTAAAGGGCAATGCGTTAGTTTTTTTGCATTTTTAAGCACGATCCAGTTGTCGAATCCACTGCCGTTATGAGAAATTAATATTAATCTCTTTCTATCATATTGACCTAAATATTTCAACATTTGATCGATGCAATCTGTACCTACAAATATTTCTACTTATATTAGTCATGAGTTTGTTGTAAAATTCTTCTGGAATGGGATCTGACGGCTTTAAATCTGGAAAGAGATTATTTATTCTGTTTAACATTTTCCTTAGTTTTTCTAAATTAATTAAAGTGCAGGCATAAGGAATTGCTCTTCGTGTGTCTTTTTCTGAATACGTTTCGCAATCCCAAGCGAATAACGCATCATCACTCATACTTGAAAGCACGTTTAGTTTGAGAGGCGAAACCTGTGTTACTGCGTTGTCGTCTCTACACGTTTTCCACACCTGTCCACACTTTTTTGGCTTCTTCTAATCAAACAGAAATGCGAGTTGTGTAAGTAAAAAACCCAATCTAATTCATCGTGAACGTCTCTGGTGTGAAAATGTCTGATTTTGGGATTATAAATTTGAAACGAAGTGTTAAATTTCTTGTTGAATTCCTTCATTCTAGCACAAGTCATCACTCCTTTTCTATTTGCTTTTGAAAACCCGTTGATGTATTCTTGAAATTTACACGTTAAATCTTTGTTCAAAACACGATTGACGCATTTGATAAAACAGTGACCATCTGTAGGTATGAAACAATTTTCGCCTTCGTATTCATTTATCTTTTTAAGTAGATCAGTTCCTCCTCTACCAACTCTCGATCTTTTTATTTCTTGGAAATTGTCTTTCATTAAAATTATTTTTCCTGTAAAATACCAATCGGAAGCATCGGATTTTTTGTCCATATTTGAAAAGATATTGTGAAAGGTTTTGGCATTGAAACCGAGGAGTGACATGTATTGTCTGTTATTCCCTTCCTCGACTATCTCTCCATCTATTTTAATTTGTCCTTTCAATGTTTTAAATTTATCAGAGATAGCCTTGATAACATCGGAAAATAGGGCGTTTTCTATCAATGTTTCATCAAGTTCGATTTTATTCATATTTTTTTAAGTGTATATTTTTGATTATTTCTTTATTTTGACCGCTGATATTTCTGTATGGAATTTGTCCAAAATTTCATTGAATTCTTGTAATTCTTCAACTGTTATGTTCTTGTCTTCTCTCGATCTTTCGAAAAAGATGTACAATTGATTAAGATACATATTCAAGATTTCCGTTTCCTTTTTATAATGAGCTTTCTTTTTACTCGTGAAACCTAAAGTGATGAGACCGCAAGAAGTCGTTTGAACGGCTGTTAATGCAGCCAATACGGTTGGGACGATGACCAGAAGCATTAATCCACCAGTCACGGCCGTTGCCACCGTTACTCCTATCGTTAGAACTGTGCTCGCTGTTTTGAAAAAAGAATCGATTCTACTCCATGTTTTCCTGCATGTATTGCACTGTCTCAACTTTATTTTCAACTCTTCTTGTTTGTCTATCATGTATTGTTGTCTGCTTTCGAGTTCCATTTTTTAAGTCGTTAAATTAAGTGAATTTCCGATAAATGGAACCACGGAATATCATATAGAGCGTGCTTGTTTGGCCTAGCATTATTATATTTGCGGGTATTAAAAGTAAAAACATTTACGCGTACTAACGACATTTCTTTTTTCGTATGGTCATCGTTATGATGATAGGAATATTTTCTTTTTTCTTTTTCGATGTTTATCTTGGCTCTATAAATAAAACCACCACCTTCAAGGATGGAGTCGGAAGCTTCGGCAAACGATAAATGTACTATAAACTCTCTTTCTTGTTGACTTTTATGAACATCTATCGAGGTGTATTTTCCATCGTAAACAAAATACAGTTTTACGTATTCAAAGTCTGTTGTTCGTAAAAACTCGTGACTGCTAGATTCTATTGGTCCGGGTACGTATACGGGTATTATAAGTGATGGTGGAATTTTGACAATGTTGGTTAATGGTGGATTTTCCGTCTCCAATATCATATCCAAATCTTTGATTCCAATGATATCCTTATCATTTTCTACTTCCATTTTAAAGGTGTCTACATATTTACCCTTTTTCGTTTCAATTTCCTGATCCCTTTTATCAATCAAACGTATATTCTCTTCCAAATTACCATCATTGAATAATGAAATATGTTTGACGCCCTTACCGGTTTGTTTGAAGACTACTTTATTGACTTTAACCTTCATGGGAAACTCTATTTGAATCAGACAATTACCTCGAAAAGTAAACGCTTGCGTTTCGCCGATATCGAATACGTTTTTAGGTTCTCCGTATGCGAGAGAACGTACTTTTATTTCTGCTTTGAATCCGTATTTGTTTGATTTATAAATTTGGTCTTTTTCATCGAAGACAGTGTCACTTTCGAATGGAAGATTGACATAATACGATTTGTCCGTGACAATAGCTTCTAATTTGGTCAACTTTCTCTCTTGTCTCAAAAAATCGTCATGAATTCTAGATACCAAAAGATTGACCTGTTCTTTAATATAATTTTTCATATCATCTCGAAATTTATTTTGAAGAAAGTTTTTAATCACACCCACTTCTTTTTCTAATTCGTCCGTGATTTTAGTATCCAAAGCAGTCAATTGTCGTTTCAACGTATCTTTGTCAATGGGAAGTGTGTTAATTATATCTTGAACATCTGATTTTTGCTTCGCGATCTTTTCGTTCAAATTGGATATCGAATTTTGTAACTCGGTTTTGTCCGCGGTCTTGTCTAGTTCTGCTAGCAATTCGCCAAGTTTTCTTTCCAAAGCGGTTAGTTTTCGTTTCAATCTATCCTCGTTTACATTTGGGTTATCTATTAAACGTTGGACGTCTATTGTAATTTTATCGTCTAATTTAGATATTAAATTTTGCAACTGACTTGTTTTATCCACTTGAATAAGACGTTCNAAACTCGTTAACTCTTGTTGTAGTTTGGGTTCGTCCACAAGATTTTTAATATTTCTTCTGAGGTATCTTTTCACGTCATTTATTCTATTTTCAACATGGTCCTTATCTATTTGAATTGCGTTTATTTGAGCCAGTAAATATTTCTTGTTCACGGCATCGTTATCGTTTCCTGGAAACTTTAAATTAGTTATTTTGAAATTGTTCATATCGATATCCCCTTGTAAGGTGTCTCCGATTTGATCCACGAAAAAAGGTTTCGCTTTGTTTATAAACGCCGTAGAACTCATGGGATTTTTAGATTCTAGAGGTAAAGACCCTAATCCAAACTTGCTTGCCATTTTTATTGAGTTAAATTTATTATAATTTCTTCAAACTTTTCTCCCAAACTCAACCGATATAAAACCCAAAGCGACAGCTGTCCACACAGCTTTTGTCCTGGCATTTGAATTTGAAACGTAGAACATTTGATTGGTTTGCTAGTCAATTTCGTTATCTCTTCTGTCGGTTCTAGACCGAAAGAATCAAAGAAATAAAAGTTATTCGAAGAATCTTTGTGTAAAGCAGAGTGATGAACTCCTTTTTGATCCGACGTGTGAATGTTTGTGATGGCGTAAAATTTACCTTTCTTGTATTTCAGTTCATCAATTTCATCTCGCATGCAATAATAAATCGGCGAGACGTTCAACTCCTTGGCCCATTTCACATGTTGAAAATTTGTGGTCGTGTCTTTTCCGTATTTATCGAGAAATGCATTCATTTTTTTAGTTGATTTTTTTTAGGTGTTTTTCGAAGTAGGCGGAAAGTATTGCTGAAGACCCAATTGACGAAATATATGCGTAGTTTGTGTTTGAAAAAACTTGTATAACATTCTGATAAAACACATTCAATAATATTTTGAAGATAAATTTACATTTAAATTTAAAAAATCTTAATTTAAGAGAGCGTAAATGCTTGTCGACATCTAAATTTCTTAACCTTTCATCTAAATCTTCATTTTCGAGCTTCATTTTTAAAAGTCAGTTTTTTGAAGTTCATTTTGATAAAACCTTCCTATGATTTGTTCTTTGTCTTGATGGATCAATTCATACGTGGGAGGTGATGTGTTGTTTACTTTATCAACGATGAATATCTCGTTAGTCCAATAGCCGACGTAACCTTTCTGAAACAATGATTTATATTTAAAAATACGAACTCGATCTCCAACTTTGAATTTGGGTTTAATATTCAAATTGCTAATCTCGTTTTCAAAGTTGTTTGAGTGTTGACGGACTTTATGATATTCGGGTTATTAGAGGCTTGCGTTGGCGTCTCACCTATAGACGAATGTATTTTGTTATTGTATTCGTCGACAACAACTGGTAATATTTTAAGCCATTTTTGAGATTTCAATTCCGTGAATTTCTTGAATAATTTGCTTTTAAGAGTCCTGTTGAATCTTTCTATCACTACGGCTTTACCTTCGTTATGCGTGCTGTAAATTTCAAACCCCAGAGATTTCACATTTCTGTTGTAGAATTCGCTTCCTTTATCAACCCACAACTTTAGGGGTCATCTGTCGGATTGTTTCATTATGGTTTCGAATGCTTGTTTGACAGTCAGACCCGATTTGTTTTTCAAGGGAAAGACCCAAGCGTATCTCGTGTATATGTCGATCACCGTCAAACAATACTTATACCCTTTCTCGACTGGCATGTTGATTAAATCGGCTGACCAAATTTCATCTTTATCAAAAACTTTGACTTTGAGGTAATGTTTGTTTTTTCGAAATTCTTTGTGAATCTCGTCTGCTATGCCCATACCCAATTTCAATTTTGCCTTCAAGAGTTTTATGATAAGAGCCCTTTGTAATTTCTCTTTGAAAGTGGGATTGGGAATATTTTCGAGTTCGTCTATCATTTGTTTGTCTGCTTGGTGTCTGAATGTTACGTCTTTATTTCTGTACAGTATGTCGTGTTTGAGCGCTGCTGCGTCAACTCTATTAACGGGTTCTTTTCCTGGTATGGGATTATCATTTTCGTCTAAACGCAGATCTAACCTAGTGCCTGGACCTGTATAATTGTGCCCTGGGAGATGTTTTTCTCAGGGATATTTTGCCCATGGGAATCCAGGAAGAGAACCCAATGACTTTTGAATGTCTCCCGCACCGAAATACGTTTTAGGAGGATGGACAT